CCCTCTCCCCCTTAGCAAGTATTCCCGCTAATAAATATTACAGAAAATGTGCTCATTAACAAACAGGCAAACATACTGTGATATTTATTAATGGGACCACTGACTGGTATTAATTAATTGGAACCTACTGTGATTTATTATTGGATACCTGACTTGGCATCTGTTTAATGGGGAAACTGACTGTGGCATGTTCTGTAGGGCAAAGTCACACTGTTCTGTGTCTGCACTTTATTACTCCTATATTTATTATATATATATATTTGCTTGTGATGTGTCGTGGAATTCTGGGAAGAACTTTGGTGTGCCTTGGTGAGAAAAGGTTGAGGAGCACTGCGTATTTACATTAAAAAGTCCACAGGGACAGTCTATACTCACCAGAACATTATGCTGTTGTTGTTCTGGTGACTACAGTGTCACTTTAAGAAATGATCCATGTCCAGGAATACATGGGAAATCTTGCGACCTTAAAGGACCACTAAATTCACCCAGACTGCTCCATCTCTGGTCTCGGTTTAATGGTCCTGTCATTTTAACCCTACAATGTAAAACATTGCAGTTTTGTTAAACACACCTCTGTTGGCTTCTTAAAGGGGTGCTTTTACTGTACTGACCAAATAAAACTCCGACTCCTTCCACAGCAGCTCATAGGAAATCATTGAATGCGCACACGGTGTTTTGAGCGGATTCCCAACAGCTCCCCAATGTCGATGAGGAGCATTGGATTGGAGCGTTGGCGGAGTGAGTTATGCTTTAACCATGACCTAGTGGGGGGCAGAGGGGTAAGCGTGCATGGGAGCCTCAGCACTGGAAAAAGGCCATGCCTCCTCAATGATGTTGGGGAGCTGCAGTGGTCACAAATGTCCTCTCTGTCCCCCTAATGCAGTGATCGAACCTTATCTGGTAATGTACTTGCCAACAGCCTGTTGATCTATCAAATAATCAAAACTAAAGTAAAATAATTGTATATAATGGATATGGTAATTTTATTTGATATCTGTGATAATCAGTGCAGTTATAGGATGTGTGCTGTAGGCTATGTATCCCTAGATCAGACATGTATCCTATGATCAGTCATGTGTTGTGATAGTATATGTGATCAGACAGACGTGTCCTGGGACAAGATGTGTTTGTTGTGATTGGTTGCGTTTCACACAACACTGACATGTTTCCATTTTTATAACGTCCACGCTATTAATATCAGACTGGAACCTAATCCCCGTGGAGAGGGGGAGGCACTATTTAGTTTGGATGAGCCTCTTTCTGCATCCAGGCTTGGGGGTGACAGGCAGGTGGACCCTGGGGGAGGACTGTAGGTGAGTTCCACTCTCACACTTACCTGAGCTGCTCTCACACTGCACCCCTGTCCCAGAGGTGATCCAGGTATCATTTGGCTGCACTCCTCCTGTCCTAGAATTGCAGTCTGTGTGTCACTGATTAATGGACCCATGTGGGTGTCCTGTCTTTCCTTCTCCCTGTTATTCCCAGGCTCGCATTAGAGATGTTATTCTTTGTAAGATCCCATGTGATACATCCCTCGAAGCTCTTTCACTGTTCCCCAGGCTGTTGTGGGCAATCTATGTCCGTCCTTTCTCCAAGCCGTCACTGGCAGTCTTGTTACAGACCTAGACAGTTATTTGGACGATAAGACAAAGTCTTCGATTTAGTTACCCATTTACCTAATAAAGCTCTCTCACCCCTTGCCTGTAAATTTCATGAGTGTCATTACACTGCAACTTGCCACCCAACTCCACGGAACTACAACCTTAATGCATGCGCCAAGCAAGAAAGACTGTATATTAAGGAAGTGTTTGTCTCACTCCTTTTCATTTTACTTCTCTTTCACCCCTATTGCCAACAGCCCAGATGCCACCCACAGCCTGTTGCCCCCAGCCAGCTCTGTACGCAGCCCACGCAGACGGACAACCAGCCAGAGTAAGTCGGAACCTCCCCTACTGAGGACTAGCAAAAGGACCATATACACCGCTGGCCGTCCACCTTGGTATAATGAGCATGGAACCCAATCCAAGGAGGCCTTTGTTATTGGTGAGCATATGATATTTACTGTGTTCACTGAATTGATGTGGTTCGTACCTTTTCTACAACACCTATCACTCTCAGACAGCCTTACCAAGGGCTGACTGCTTGATACTGCCCTCAATCCATTCTTCATCTCAGTGGGGTTTATTCACTAACTTTTTTTTTTCTCTCCCCATTACCCATTAGCAAGTGAAAATTAGCTCTGGTGTGAGTGCCATGGACCCTCCAGACTTACAGTGGCTAGTAACTTTTAGAGCTGGCTAGCATAGAATTTAAAATTCCTGAAATAAATTGACTATACGGTCTCTTCTTCTCTCGCACATGTATGGTTTATTCCTCTCTTTCTCTCTTGTGTATGATTATACATACAGAT